CCAAGTGGCTGCCATTATTGAAAAACTACCTCCTATGTGGAGAGATTTCAAAAATTTCCTCAAGCACAAACGCAAGGAAATGAACTTGGAAGAATTGATTGTGCGCTTGAAAATTGAAGAGGACAGTCGAAAAATTGAACAAAGGCCAGTTGATCAAGATGGTGCAAATTTTGTTGAAATGGAACCAAAGGCAACAAACAAGAAACGAAAGGCTTTTAATTATGCACCGCGAAGAGACAATTCCAAGAAGGCTAAAAAGTTCAAAGGGAATTGTTATAACTATGGCAAGGCTGGACATCGTTCAAGTGAATGTCGAAAGCCAAAGAAGAATGCTCAAGCCTACATGATTGCAAATAACACTCTATCCGATGGACTGCAAGAAATGAGAATACAACATGATTGGAAATACTAGAGAATGGTGGATTGACATCGGCGCTACCCACCATGTGTGTGCGAATAAGGGGATGTTCTCCAACTATCAAGAATTGAATGGGGAACAACTATACATGGCAAGTTCCAAGGTTGAAAGACAAGGCAAAGTCACTTTGAAGATGACATCCGGGGAAGAACTCGTCCTCAACAATGTCCTACATGTGGCGAATATAAGAAAGAATTTAGTGTTCGGGTCTCTACTTAGCAAGAACGGTTTTAAACTTGTATTTGTATCCGATAAATTTGTGTTGTTTAAAAATGAGATGTATGTAGGAAAATGATACATGTGTGATGGAATGTTCAAATTGAATGTTCTCACAATTGTACCGAAGTAAGTTGTTATGAGTAAAACTATAAATTTCGTTTACTTGCTTGAGCCTTCATGTTTGTGACATAGTCGATTAGGACATGTGAATTACAAATCGTTGTGCAAACTAATGAATTAAAGTTTAATTCTGGCACACAAAATCAATCATAATCATAAATGTGAAATATGTGTTGAAGAAAAATTGGCTAAAACACCGTTCCACTCAATACAAAGGAACACAACCCCTCTTGAATTGATCCACAGCAATATATACAATCTAAAATTTGTACAAACTTGAGGTGGTAAGAAATACTTTGTGACATTTATTGATGATTGTACAAAGTTTTGCTATATCTTTCTTTTGAGAAGTAAAGACGAAATCTTAGATGCATTCAAAACCTATAAGGCTGAAGTTGAAACACAACTTGAAAAACGAATAAAAAATATTCGTAATGATAGAGGAGTTGAATATGGGGCACCGTTTGAAGACTTTTGTTCTGAACATGGAATTGTTCATCAAATAACGACAACTTACTCTCATCAATCAAATGGTGTTGTAGAACGTAAAAATCGAACACTTAAAGAAATGATGAATATCATATTAATAAGTTCGGGTTTACCACAGAACATGTGGGGGGAGGCTATTTTAACGGCAAATAGTTTTCTTAATAAAATGCCTCTTAAGAAAATGGAAGAGACACCATATGAACTATGGAAAGATCATCCTCCATTCTACCAATACTTGAAAGTGTGGGGTGTTTAGCTAAGGTTGAGGTACCTAAGCCTAAACAAGTGAAAATCGATCCTAAAACGATAGATTGCATATATATTGGATGCACCAATAATAGTAGTGCATATCGATTTCTTTTACACAAATTCGAAATACAAGACGTACACGAAGGGACCATAATTGAATCAAGGAATGCGACATTTTTTGAAAATATTTTTCCTTGCAAAGATAAGAAAAATATGAGTTTCAACAAGAGAACATATGAAACTACCAATGAAATTTCAAATGAGGAAGAACCAAAGCGGGCTAGGACTTCCAAACCGTTTGGCTCAGATTTTCTAACCTATGTGGTAGAGGATGATCCAAAAACTTTTGATGAAGCAATGTCTACACAGGAAGCACCACATTGAAAAGAAGTTATCAATAATGAGATAGATTCTATAATGCAAAACCATACATGGGAGTTGGTTGATTTACCTCCCGGTAACAAGCCTTTATAATTCAAAATGGATCTTCAAAAAGAAATTGAAAACTGACGAATCCATTGATAAATATAAGGTTAGATTGGTTGCTAAAAGATATAGGCAAAAAGAAGGGTTTGATTTCTTTGATACCTACTCACCCGTGACTAGAATCACGTCGATAAGGTTGATAATTGTAATTGCGGCAATACACAATTTTGAGATTCATCAAATGGATGTAAAAAAAGCATTCCTAAACGGTGAGTCAGAAGAGGAGATTTACATGGAACAACCTAAAGGGTTCGTTTCTCCTAACCAAAAATACAAAGTGTGTAAACTTGTTAAGTTCTTGTATAGATTGAAACAAGCTCCTAAACAATGGCACCAAAAGTTTGACAAAATAATGTTGTCAAATGGATTCAAGATCAACAAATGTGTATATATTAAACATACACCGTATGCCTATATAATTGTATGTCTATATGTGGACGACATGTTAATAATGGGAAATAACCACGAAATGTTGCTTAACACCAAAAAGATGCTAACAAAGCATTTCGATATGAAAGATATGGGTATGACAGATGTAATCTTAGGAATTAAAATCTCTAGAACGCAGGATGAAATTGTATTTTCACAATCTCACTACATAGAAAAGGTACTTAAGAAGTTTGACGTGTTTGAGAAAAGTCCTGCGAGAACTCCTCTTGATCCGAGTATGCACTTAATCAAGAATACGGGAGAAAACATATCACGACTAAGGTATTCACGAATAATTGACAATCTTATGATATTACAAACTGCACTTGACCGGATATTGCTTTTGCGATGAATAAATTTAGTAGATTTACAAGTAATCCAAACCGTGATCATTGGAAGGCTTTAATGAGGGTTCTAAGGTACTTGAAATATATCTTAACCTATGGATTACACTTCACAAAATATCCTGCAGTACTAGAAGGATATTGTGATGCGAATTAGATATCCGATATGAAGGATTCCAAGTCCACTAGTGTTGTGTATTCGCTATTGGTGGAGCTGTGTATCATGGAAATCAACAAAGCAAACGTGCATAACTCGATCAACGATGGAATCTGAGTTTATTGCTTTGGACAAAGCTGGAGAAGAAGCAGAATGACTTCGAAATTTCTTAGAAGATGTTCCATGTTGGCCCAAGTCAGTACCTGCGATAAGTATACATTGTGATAGTCAATCAGTAATTGGAAGGGCTTGAAGTAGCATGTATAATGGTAAGTCTAGACATATTTGTCGTAGACACAACACCATTAAGCAACTGATCTCAAATGGCGTTATCTCCATAAATTATGTGAAATCAAAGGAGAATATTGCGGATCCACTTACGAAAAGTTTGCCTAGAGATCAAGTGCATTACCTATCGAAAGAAATGGGATTAAAGCCTACTACATAAGAGTTTTTGCAATGGTAACCCTACTTTGTTGACTGGAGATCCTAAGATCTTGGTTCAAATGAACAAGTTGTGAAAATTCCATGAAGCACTTAGGAAATTAGAATTCCTAACTCATTCCTATGATACTAAAGCACTTTCTGCAGAGTGAATAGAGGCTAAGATTATCTTTTAATGATTCCTATATCTTGATTAAGTCAAGTTGAGTATGACAGAATACTCTTAATAGGAGGTCACCTATGTAAGTGTGAAGTGGGGCCACTTCGATAAGAATTGTTTAAGGTTTGAATTCTCTAAACACTTATGAAGCCAATAAGGGTTCATGGTCAAAATGAACCAATTCATGAGAACTGAGTCCAGAATAGGGAAAATATCTGTGTGAATACTGTTGTCTTGACTTACACCAAAGTGAGTGGTTCAAGACCTATGGGTTCACCAATTAGTTAAGTAAGTCCGATAGTATTTCACTAAGGGAGGTTCAAGGCCAGAAGCCACCATCCCTCATGCAGTATTTTTTCGCACCCTCTCTACATTGCATCATATCATCACATTTGCATATGCGTACCCGAATTTCCATTCATGTGGGGGATTGTAGGAATTGGTTCAAATTATTAACCAAAATTTGGAAAATGAAAAGGTATGTAAAAGTGGAAAATGAAAAGATGTGACTACGTGTCAACTTCGATCAAATATTCGAACTTGATCCGATGGTCAAATTACAAAAGTAAATAGACCAACTTATTCTACTTGTCGAGTAGATCGTCGTGGTATATTTGGAATCTCGAAACCAATTCCGGATGAATGAAAAATTACGGACCAAAGTTGGAAGAAATAAAGTGTTGCAACTTTTCGAAAGGATACAGATTTTAGTCAAGTGTTGTAACTTTTTTAAAATGATGTATGTTTTGACCCACACTACTTCATTTGCACCCTTTTTACATCTGTAAATAGAACCCTATGGACATAATTTTGGGTACACCAATTGTATTGAGCATTCATTCTCCTTTTGCAATTCTCTTCTATCTAATTCCATAGCATACATTTCCTTCGTAGAGGGGAAATTTTGTCAAAAGTTGGTCGGTTTCTTGTGGTTTGAAGTGCTGCTATCACAAGTTGTGAATCCATTGTATCTTGGGCGACAAGTGTCATTCACCGTGAGCACCGTAGAGGGGCAATTTGTCTTAAGGAAAGAGATCACATCTCGCCTTGGATTATTCTCTATTTCTACTCCTTCTTAATCCTTGTTTTGCGTAATCTTTATATCGAAACTCTGTCCAAATTTCCATTTATATAAATTGTGTTTCGATCACGCTCTTGCGAGTTAAAACTAATTAAACAAATATATCAAAAATCAACATTTACATAGCCCTTTTTATAAGTCGTCTCCGACAATAAACTACCGTTTCTTAGCATCTATATAAACATAATTACATCATACATCTGGAAGATTAATCATTAATGCAAGCAACTTTAAAAGGGGAACTAAGTTGTTCGAATTATTTCAAGAACTCTACAATTTTGTTCTTTAGAAAATATTAGGAATGACAATGAAGCAGATTGGCCATTCTCATCTCCCTTTTCGTCAGGTATTTTTGTCATCTTACCTTGCCCCCATATCCGGTTAAGGTCAAGTGAGATCGGCCAGAAAAGCTCCATTATATTGGTGTATCTTTTGGGCTTACTCTGGATCTTTTCCGCTTTTGGAGGAAACACAATTTTTCTCCGTTCTTCATTGGCTCCATTCCCGTAAGTTTCTTTGTTTCCGTCTTTGTGTTGTTACCTTTTATTTCTTTTTCAATTTTCTCTATGTGAAGTTGAAAAATTAGTCTATGGTCTGATGTGGCATTTTCTAAACCAGAGTAATGTCACTGGTGAACACTCGTGCATGGTTCTGAAACCATTGAATAATGATGATATTGAAACTAGTGGATCAGATCCGATGGGATTTATTCGGCCTTTTTACCAAGGTTGGTCTAATATCCTTTTTACCTTAATCAAAAGGAAGTTTCCATAACTAATTTCGATTTTTCAGTTCAAATATTTATCTTCTTAAATTGTTGTCAGGTTTCAGGCATATTTTCATTCGACTACTGTCGACTACCTTCCGACAAATGGAATACAAGCTTGCGATGAGGTGTGACTGGTATACTTTGGCTTTCTCAGCTGGTTAAATGATTCTCTGGTATCCTTACGCTTTTCTGTATTTGCAGTATTTTGGATCCCAAGCTAAACTTCTCGGATCTGGTGGACCCTACCTTGTCCTCTTCCAATGGTTTTTTAATTTCAGACCCCCATCTTATGATGCGACTGGAAGCATATGTAAACAATCTAGCCAACTACGAGAAGGTAATGTGTCATCAATGTTTAATATACTTTTGCTGTGTATGATCTTGAATGTATCAGGTACTCCTGGTTTGGTGTCTCGTTTGAATGAGGTTTGAATTTTCTTCTTTCCAGAGATTAGATTACTAAATTGTTAGTTTCAACATATAAAAATACGAGAAATCGCTTGCTATTCACAAAATATACTGGCAAAATGTGTATATTTATGACGTGAAGAACCTGCAAGGCATAATATGCCTATAAGCGTCTACTTGGTTTCTCTTAGACTACTTGCGATTCCTGAATTTTTAGGATAACTAATGCATGATCCCATGGTCTCCGAAAAGGATCCATGTTCGGCCGCTATTAATTCATCACTTAAACCATGGTTTCTGTATACACAAAACTATTGATTCAGCCTAAATTTCATCAAATTTGCTCCAGACGTTTCATCTGTTAAAGCTAAATTCTTGCTTAGCATTCTGAGGCATTCTCCCCACTTTTGATGAAACTTATCCTAAATTTAAGATTTAATGCATAAAAAAAAAAAAAAAAAAAAAAAAAACTGAAGCTGGTTTGTCACTTGACCCACAAGATCCCAATGTGGATCTGCCAATGTGTACCTCATGACTACGCTATTTATTTTATCATAATTTTGTCTGTTTCGTATGAAGAACACGCTACCTAATTTAGATATACCTTCTTTTAAGCACCCTTTTCCCTTTTGTTCTTTCCTTCTTTTCCTCTCCTCTTAAGACTTCAAGATTCACCTTTTATGCTTGGATATCCAGAATAAGGTAATCAAAATATGAAAGAATAATATTTTACTAATAGGAAAAAATTTTCGGTTCCGTTATTCTTGACTTTATTGTCATGTCCTGTTTCTCAGGGAAGGATTTGATGAGATTGGAAAGAATTTTATGACAGAAGAGATAGATGCAATGATGGGAAGAAGACATATGTTGGGTCCTCCGGGAAGTTTAAACACAGTCACTCCTTGTGCGGCATGTAAGCTTTTGAGAAGAAGATGTGCAGAAGAATGTCCTTTTTCTCCTTATTTTTCCCCACACGAACCTCAGAAATTTGCAGCTGTTCACAAAGTTTTTGGTGCAAGCAACGTCTCAAAGATGCTCATGGTAATTAACTTCTATCATTTGCGCGTATTCTTCGAGTGGATATAGCAATGATTTCGATTAGAGTGACAAAAAAAATTCACATAGTCGATTTCAAATTCTAAATTTTGTATTGAATATTTTCTTTTTATGGGTATTTAGGAGGTGCCTGAGGCCCAAAGAGTTGATGCAGCTAACAGTTTGGTTTTCGAAGCGAACGTGAGGCTCAGGGATCCAGTATATGGATCCATGGGTGCAATTTCAGCTTTGCAACAACAGGTTCAAACTTTACAAGCTGAACTTAGTGCCGTAAAGGCTGAGATACTGAGATATAAGTACAGAGAAGCTGCAAATACTATAATTGTTTCAACTAATGCTGCGGCTTTGTTTTCCTCCGAAACTGTGTCTGTGTCTGTGGCTGAGCTACCACAAGCTCCTCCTCCACCGACTGCTTATCGGCCCGCTGCTCCACCTACTCCTAGTCCTCCACCTCCAGCAGCTCCTCCGGCTGCTGATGTGTCTTCCTCGTCTTCAGCTCCATCTTTGTACACTTCCTTTCGTAGCATGAGCTTTAACAACATTTCAAATAATAACGTATCGTATTTTCACTGATTTTATCCAGCCATAGTTCAACTTCATTCCTCTCTTCATTTTCCAATCAGAAACTTGTAGTCCAATAGATCAGAAAAAAGCCTTATTCAATACTCTAATCATAAACTTGCAGAAAAAATCACTATCTTATTATTAGGGGTCTTCTGCTTTAATCAATGATTAACTTTTGCTATATCAATCTTCAGTTTCATTTTGTTCCAGAAAATCATATTGGAATCATAGAAATATTCATAAAAAGTTTAAACTGGATGGAACACAGTCTCTACGGCCCTGAAAACGGCCAATTCCGTCATCAATACACGCCCTAGGTGGTTGCACGTGCAGGGGTTGAGGTTTGACTCAACAAAAGTGTGTCTGTGTGCGTTTACATTTTAGTTTGTGCCAATTAAGGAGGTGTACGTGAAATGAAACATATTTATTATACAAAGGAGACAAAATGTATGGTTATTGCGTTGCCCGATGATTTCAAATAAGATCAGAAACTTTAAATATGAGCTCGAGTCAGAAAAGCAGTGCTGAACATTAATTTAAGCCGACTTTTGAATATGTAGAATTCGAATTTTTGACATTGATTTTTGTATTTGTTAAATTCCTGAGGGATGATATCTTTTTGTCTCATTACTACTATGAATTATAGAATATGATTCAATTTTGTAAGTCGTGACTTGTTTATAAATAAATTGTATATAATAGCAATTATATGAAAACGTTAATTGAATCTATATATGGAGAAAAGACAAAGCACGAGAAATGTGATAATGTTATTGAAAATTTAAACTAGAATTTTATTTATATCTTTGTCATTGTATAGGAATTTTTTTTTTTTTTGGGTGCAAGGTGATGTCATATATTGTGATGTTTGTTACTTATCCAAAATTTAATTTTGCAACATGCTCGTGTATTTAGAGTGTTTTCCCACGTTTATAGACTAATATCCTCTTGTAATTTTTGGATGCAAGATTGCTATCTCCACTTTTTGTAATAGTTTTGCTATCAATAGACAAGATAAGAATGCATGCCAAACGCCTCCCGGGACATAACCTAATGGTGCAAAGGACAGGAGTAAGGTAGTCTCAACTTTACTGACAGTCACAGTGTGAGTGTTCGATTCCTAAGATATGGAATTGGACTTTTTGTGGGCACCAGTGTACGGGCAAACTCTTGTTTCCTAGTCTACTGAGATACATCTCGCGATTTACCTCCTTCATGATACTCTAGAAACGGGACGGTGTGGGCCCTCATGTTTGGGGTTCAACCTTAAGAATGCATGCCAAACCTAACACCTAACCACAAAAAATGCTTCATTCTATGTTTGTATTTCAAGATTTATTTCTTTTTATCACTAATAAATACTCTCCATGTGGTAGTTCGATTTTAATATTAAAATTTAACCATCCCACTAATAATGTTCAGAAATAGATCATGACTTATTCACTTGTTTTCAACTTAAAGCCTTTGTTTGGCACATTTTTTTTTCTAAAATTTTTTTCTTCAAAATTTTTCTCTTTCACACATTTTATGGAACTCATTCCCTCTTTTCAACTATACATTTCAAAAAATATTATTTTTCACTGAAAAAATATGTACCTAACAAACATGGTAGTAAGTCGATTTTAGAGAGGTCGCAAATTTCAATAGATTTCGTAAGTAAACTAATTAAGACTGCCACTTAATCGTTATTCATGGTCCAGATACTTGATAGCTTTAACATTTGTGCAATTAAGACACGAGTTGATAGCTTTACTCCTACATCTCGAGACCTTTATGTATGTAATATCTTTGAATATGTAACTATGATGAACTCCGACGAGGACAATGACTATGAGAGTGATCATTAGCCTACAAAATATTACACTTTGTGTGACGACGAGAAATAGGACAATCTCACATGAGATAGATATTGTTCTACCACTCTTTAGCTCTCATGTTGGTTAAATTATTATTTTTATTCTGAATCCATATTGATTGGAGGTTAGGTCTTATAACTTTTCTTATTTTGTTTGAATATACACTCCATCCTCGTGATGGCGTGAATTTCATTTAAAAAAAAAAAAAAATTGTTTCTTAAAGCAAGGCCAGATGTCCTTATTTGGTGCCCCAGTGTCTCAGATACTTTTTCTACATCTTCGGCTTGGGATTTTGTTAAGGTGTAAAAATTCCACTTTTCAACCTTTCAAGATGATTTGGAACAAGTTGTTACATGTGAAGATTTCGGTCTTTCTTTGGAGGGTGTGGTGTGGTATTATCCCTGTTGATAAAGTGATTAGTTAGCATGGTATTTCACTAATTTCTTAGTGTCATTTCTGTGCTAATGCTCGAATGGAAGATATTGATCACCTTCTCCATTCCAGTGAAGTTGCAATACGGGTTTGGTTTAATTTTGGGCACCCCCACCCCACCCCACCCCCCTTTTGGCGCCTGTATTGTTAATAATAATAATAATAATAATAATTGACATTCTTTACTCACAATTTGGATGGTTCAGTTTCAAGGGCATTCTTAGGTCCAACTCCTTGCTCTGTTGAGTCCTGTGGTGATCTCGTGGAAAATTTGGCTTCCCAGAAATAATGCTACGTACAAGAGTGATGCAATGTGTGTTGATAAAATTTGTCGCAAAGTGTTATTCTACAGGCATTGTTGCTTGTTAGGATTCCTTTGCTTGTTCGCTGGTTTCCTCCTAAGAATGGAGTCCTTAAATTGAATACTGATGGCTCGAGCTTGGATAATCTTGGTAAAGGTGGATGCGGTGGAGTGTTGAGAGATTGGCTTGGTAAGTTGACTTTTGGTTTCTCTCATTACATTGGTGTGGCTACCAATTCCATGGTAGAAGCTTTTGCTCTCAAATTTGGTCTCTATTATTGCTATCTCTCATGGGTGTTAATAGAGCTTGGGTGGAAACTGACTCTGAGTTAGTGGAGCATTGGTTTAATGAGCGTGGAACCCCTCCTAGGTCACTCTATAATGTTTGAAGGGAAATAATAGAGTTGGATGAGTATTTGGATCTAAAAATCAGCCATGTTTGTCACGAGACAAACATTGTGACTGATTCTTTAGTAAGGTCAAGTGTGAGTGATTGTTCTCAATTTGTTACTTGTACTAGGGATTTGCCTAAAATTGCTATTAGTTGTATTGTCTTATACTCTAGCGGAATTCCTACTTTTCGTTTTCATTAATTGCATTCACGGTTTTCCTCCGCCATAAATGAGGGTTCCTAATAAATTTTGGAGGTTTCCATTAAAAAAAATTAGTATGAATAGTCCTACATATACATATAATAGAATTAGTTTGTATTCTATTTTGAAGAGGATTATTTATGTTACTCTTAACATTATGGAAAGTGACGAAGATCGAGATTTTAATTAATTTTTAGTTAGTATTTTTATTATTAAATAAATTTAAATTTGAATTTCATTATTTCTAATTACTTATTAATCTTAGGAGTTTTAATTTATTATCTTGTATTGTAATAATTATCTAGATTTTAGTTATTATAAAGATTCAAGTTATTCCTTTAGATTTAAATAAGTGTTGTAAGCCATCATGGTAAGAAAGTGATTTTTGAATTGAAATAAAATAATAATTGTTGAGATCTCCTCCAATTACTTAAATTCTCAATATTTTGATATTTAAAATCAACGAGTCTAAATTCTCTAAATTTTTGAGCGAATCAAAGAGTTTTTGATGCCTAGATATCTAGTATTATCAGAAATCAACAAAACTAGAAGGTTTTGCAGTAGCCCTTTGGAATCAATAGAACTTCATTAGCTTTTCATTCATCATTTCAATGCTAATGCCACACTACATGAGAAAGTCGTTTAATTATTTCCTAATCAATATAGCAAGCATTTGCCATCTCGTATAAAAAAATTGGACTTATAAAGTCATCTATCTGCAATTTTTTCGAACAATTTTACGAAATAGTCATAGGTACAATTCATTCATTCATTTATTTATTTCATATATTGCTTAAAATCTCGATTCAGAGATTGTGCATCTCTTTTCCAGTTCACTGGAAATAAAGTTTGCAGAAATACATATAGACAATGTTCAACAAAGTGATTGACTTGCCTTTTTTGTTAAAATATTCTATTGATGAAATTTTCAATAATATAAAATTTGGTTTTGTATCGAACGGTCAAAGGTGTATATAAAATGACATAATCAAATTTGGTTTCACATATATAAAAGGTTCCCTAAAAATATATATATTCTCTTCTAAAGACTTTTCCAACTTTATTACTACAAGGAGCCAACCCTAGACATACCCGCAACTAAATAATATAAACACCAAAATGTGCTTACAACTTAGAGAGCATAATTTGATAGTCAACGACTGACATGTTATATAAGTAGGATATGATTAACAATTTCTAATATAATGTGAATATAATGTGAATTGTTGTACATATGACAAATAAAATAAAAATAGAGAGAACAATATCTCCAATTGGGATCATGTGCATTGTACTAATTATGGATCATATGTACAAGAGTGAAAACGTAAAATCAGAGTTAGATAAATTATAAACACGTCCTCAAATAAAAAAATATATAAAGAATTAAGTGGAGGATGTCTAGCACACCTTCCACACGTGGATCGTGTGATAGACAATATCCTTCATCGTTTTCCTTGTTGTGTAAACATTTTAGGATCATGTGGCATGCTTTCTGATGTAATTTACAGTTCCATTGGAGATGTTCTTAGTCATTCAAGATTTCGAGGATTGTTTAGGTCACCATTTAATCTAAAATCAATATGTTCTCCCTTCTTTTTTACGTACGTGGCTAGGGTTGAGGAAAAACTATAAGACTAGTATCATGTGAGTTTTCTTGCTCTTTATGTCTAGTTCAAAGAGTAGAAAATTGTAGGTGTGATAGTGATTTCTTTCCCTATGATAATTTGGGAATTTGGTGAGTGAATGTCAATATGATTGTAACAATTCTCATACAATAAAATTTTGACAATTTGTAATTTTTTCATCTAAATATACTTTTTCAATCCCTTATTTTTTTTTTTTTACTTTGGAAAAGGTTTTTGCAGGCAAATTAAAGAAAATTAGCATCAATACCAATATATAATATTCTGAAATAAAATGTATGTAAAAGGATTTAGTTATCGTCTCCACACTCGGAAAATGTACCTATGCGTGTACGTGTGTATATAATTTTTAATAATTTTCTTCAATCTCTAGGTCTAGGCTGTTAAATGAACCCAAAAAACAATGTTTCAATACCTAAACATGAGTTCACTTTTCTGTTGTATATATAAGTATAACGTAATACTCCATATGCATTAATTAATTATCTGTCATAATATTTGCAAAACTTGATTAAACAATCTGACAACCTCATATTGTGTTAGTGCCTTGCACATTTAGCTTGGTTTGATTTTATTTGATTTTATTTTTTTTTAATAACTCCTATACACTAAGATCGGGTCTTATCCATTTGTAGATGGAATTTCAATAGAAACTAGATGAGAGTTACTTCG